ACGGGCCGCCCCCAGGTGGTGAGGGTAGGTAACAACACATCTGCCATGCTGATCCTCAACACAGGGGCCCCTCAGGGGTGAGTGCTCAGTCCCCTCCTGTACTCCCTGTTCACCCATGACTGCATGGCCAGGCATGACTCCAACACCATCATTAAGTTTGCCGACGACACAACAGTGGTAGGCCTGATCACCGACAACTATGAGACAGCCTATAGGGAGGAGGTCAGACACCTGGCCGTGTGGTGTCAGGATAAGAACCTCTCCTTCAACATGATCAAGACAAAGGAGATGATTGTGGACTACAGGAAAAAAAGAGGACTGAGCCCCCCATTCTCATCGACGGGGCTGTAGTGAAACAGGTTGAGAGCTTCAAGTTCCTTGGTGTCCACATCACCAACAAACTATCATGGTCCAAACACACCAAGACAGTCGTGGAGAGGCTACGACAAAGCCTATTCCCCCTCAGGAGACTGAAAAGATTTGGCATGAGTCCTCAGATCCTCAAAAGGTTATACAGGACCTCTATACCAGGCGGTGTTGTCAAGGACTCCAGCCACCCTAGTCATAGACTGTTCTCTCTGCTACTGCACGGCAGGTTGTACCGGAGCGCCAAGTCTAGGTCCAAAAGGGTTCTTAACAGCTTCTACCCCCAAGCCATAAGACTCCTGAACAGCTAATCATGGCTACCTGGACTATTTGCATTGTCTCTCCCACCCCACCCCCTCTTTTTACGCTGCTGCTACTCTGTTTACTATCTATGCATAGTCACTTTAACTCTACCCACATGTACATATTACCTCAATTACCTCTACTAACCGGTGCCCCCGCACATTGACTCTGTACCGGTACCCCCTGTATATACAGTGGGGGAAAAAAGTATTTAGTCAGCCACCAATTGTGCAAGTTCTCCCACTTAAAAAGATGAGAGAGGCCTGTAATTTTCATCATAGGTACACGTCAACTATGACAGACAAATTGAGGAAAGAAAATCCAGAAAATCACATTGTAGGATTTTTAATGAATTTATTTGCAAATTATGGTGGAAAATAAGTATTTGGTCAATAACAAAAGTTTCTCAATACTTTGTTATATACCCTTTGTTGGCAATGACACAGGTCAAACGTTTTCTGTAAGTCTTCACAAGGTTTTCACACACTGTTGCTGGTATTTTGGCCCATTCCTCCATGCAGATATCCCCTAGAGCAGTGATGTTTTGGGGCTGTCGCTGGGCAACATGGACTTTCAACTCCCTCCAAAGATTTTCTATGGGGTTGAGATCTGGAGACTGGCTAGGCCACTCCAGGACCTTGAAATGCTTCTTACGAAGCCACTCCTTCGTTGCCCGGGCGGTGTGTTTGGGATCATTGTCATGCTGAAAGACCCAGCCACGTTTCATCTTCAATGCCCTTGCTGATGGAAGGAGGTTTTCACTCAAAATCTCACGATACATGGCCCCATTCATTCTTTCCTTTACACGGATCAGTCGTCCTGGTCCCTTTGCAGAAAAACAGCCCCAAAGCATGATGTTTCCACCCCCATGCTTCACAGTAGGTATGGTGTTCTTTGGATGCAACTCAGCATTCTTTGTCCTCCAAACACGACGAGTTGAGTTTTTACCAAAAGTTCTATTTTGGTTTCATCTGACCATATGACATTCTCCCAATCCTCTTCTGGATCATCCAAATGCACTCTAGCAAACTTCAGACGGGCCTGGACATGTACTGGCTTAAGCAGGGGGACACGTCTGGCACTGCAGGATTTGAGTCCCTGGTGGCGTAGTGTGTTACTGATGGTAGGCTTTGTTACTTTGGTCCCAGCTCTCTGCAGGTCATTCACTAGGTCCCCCCGTGTGGTTCTGGGATTTTTGCTCACCGTTCTTGTGATCATTTTGACCCCACGGGGTGAGATCTTGCGTGGAGCCCCAGATCGAGGGAGATTATCAGTGGTCTTGTATGTCTTCCATTTCCTAATAATTGCTCCCACAGTTGATTTCTTCAAACCAACCTGCTTACCTATTGCAGATTCAGTCTTCCCAGCCTGGTGCATGTCTACAATTTTGTTTCTGGTGTCCTTTGACAGCTCTTTGGTCTTGGCCATAGTGGAGTTTGGAGTGTGACTGTTTGAGGTTGTGGACAGGTGTCTTTTATACTGATAACAAGTTCAAACAGGTACCATTAATACAGGTAACGAGTGGAGGACAGAGGAGCCTCTTAAAGAAGAAGTTACAGGTCTGTGAGAGCCAGAAATCTTGCTTGTTTGTAGGTGACCAAATACTTATTTTCCACCATAATTTGCAAATAAATTCATTAAAAATCCTACTATGTGATTTTCTGGAATTTTTTTTCTCATTTTGTCTGTCATAGTTGACGTGTACCTATGATGACAATTACAGGCCTCTCTCATCTTTTTATGTGGGAGAACTGGCACAATTGGTGGCTGACTAAATACTTTTTTTCCCCCTCTGTAGCCTCCCAACTGTTATTTCCCATTGACTCTGTACCGGTACCCCCTGTATATAGCCTCCCTACTGTTATTTTATTTTACTGCTGCTCTTTAATTATTTATATTTTTTACTTATCTATTTTTTACTTAACACTTGTTTTTCTTCTTAAAACTGCATTGTTGGTTAAGGGCTTGTAAAGAAGCATTTTACTGTAAAGTCTACACCTGTTGTATTCGGCACATGTGGCAAATAAAATTTGATTTGATTTGGGAACTACTTCAAGACTGTTGGAAAAGCATTCCAGGTGAACCTGGTTGAGAGAATGTCAAGAGTGTGCAAAGCTGTCATCAAGGCAAAGGGTGGCTATTTGAAGAATCTCAAATATAAAATATATTTTGATTTGATTAACACTTTTTTGGTTACTACATGATTCCATATGTGTTATTTCATAGTTTTGCTGTCTTCACTATTATTCTATAATGTAGAAAATAGTAAAAAAATAAAGATAAACCCTTGAATGAGTAGGTGTGTCTAAAACGTTTGACTGGTACTGTAACTTACTACAGATTACAACTGGAGGGGTAGATCACATAATTAGATAGAGCACTGTAATGTCTATGCGTCTCTCTGTTGGGTTGAGATGAGGTGGATGACAACTAAACTGAGTGAAGATAGCATGAGAGGGATCTGAGGGTTCTGTCCTCAGAATTCTATAGAACACAGAAATAATATTTCATCCCTGTGGGTCTATTGATCCATTGTTATTAAGGTGTTCTAGAACAGACAAGGTGTACAGTTAAAAAGTACAGTACATTCTGGTGTTCAAATCAGATGTGTTCACTGATTTGAAATCACACACTGATCATCATTGTGATCAGGAGATCAACATATTGTGAGTAATGGAGGGGAAAATGTAGCCTGGTCCCAGTTGACGAGATGACACAAACAGCTCTGGGACCAGGCTAGGGAGAAATACACCTGTCCTGTCACTCTCCATCACAACAATGCTCACAACCACACCAGACTCTCTTCCTGACTCTCACCTTTCATCCGGTTCTCTCCTTCCTCCTTTCTCAAAGCATCTCCTTGGGAATAGACCATAGGTATTTCTCCTCACCCCTGTCCTGTCCTGTCCTGTCCTCTCCTCTCCTCCTCCCCTCATCTCCTCTCCCCCTCTCCTGTCCTCTCCTCTGTCGGTCTCTCATCACCCTTTCTTTCTTTCGTTCTGTGCTGATCAAGTCATCGTTCCTCGTGGTATTGTGAGATGACCTATGTCTGAACTGTTCTGTTGCATGCTATTTACTGTCTTTATCCCTAAAATGTCTTTATTGGATGTGTCTTTAAAAAAAGCAATGTTGTTATTTTTATCTTGCAATCAAACAATACCTTTTCTCAATAGTATTTTAGACACACGTACAGTAGGCTACATATTCCTGTCAGAGAGAATGTCTAGAATAGATAGGAGGATCAGGGTTTGTTTTTCCTTCGGTAAGCTAATGCTAACTAACACAAATGCTATTACCACTAATGCTAACTAACACAATGATATTACCTCTAATGCTAACTAACACAATGATATTACCACTAATGCTAACTAACACGATGCTATTACCACTAACGCTAACCAACACGATGCTATTACCACTACTGCTAACTAACACAATGCTATTACCACTAATGCTAACTAACACAATGATATTACCACTAATGCGAACTAACACGATGCTATTACCACTAACGCTAACCAACACGATGCTATTATCACTACTGCTAACTAACACAATGCTATTACCACTAATGCTAACTAACACAATGATATTACCACTAATGCTAACTTACACAATGCTATTACCACTAATGCTAACTAACACGATGCTATTACCACTACTGCTAACTAACACGATGCTGTTACCACTAATGCTAACTAACACAATGATATTACCACTAATGCTAACTAACACGATGCTATTACCACTAACGCTAACCAACACAATGCTATTACCACTACTGCTAACTAACACAATGCTGTTACCACTAATGCTAACTAACACAATGATATTACCACTAATGCTAACTAACACGATGCTATTACCACTAATGCTAACTAACACGATGCTATTACCACTAATGCTAACTAACACAATGCTGTTACCACTAATGCTAACTAACACAATGATATTACCACTAATGCTAACTAACACAATGCTGTTACCACTAATGCTAACTAACACAATGCTATTACCACTCATGCTAACTAACACAATGCTATTACATCACACACACAGTAGCGATAACTTGTAGCTGTAACTAAGAATACCTCTAAATAATTAAAATATATCCTCTATTAGCTCAACAAAGCAAACCCTTTTCAGATATTTGTGACACGTACCAACACGACTATTCAGAAAAAAACGGACGTATACTCCAACAGTAGAGTAGGTTTCATAATCTGTTTGGAAGTAGTATTCATCAGAGACAGACAGACCAGACACCACTATGTCTCAGTGTTCAGACAAGGAGGTCCCTGCATGGTTAACTCCTCTCCTCCCTCCATCAGGACATTCTATCGCTTCGAGGCTGCCTGGGACAGCGCCATGCACAACTCCCTCCTCCTGAACCGTGTCACTCCCTACGGAGAGAAGATCTACATGACCTTGTCGGCCTACCTAGAGGTAACATATTACACAGTGGTATACAGTACGTAGTATATCGTTGTATATAGTGTTATATAAATGACCTTTGTCGGCCTACCTGGAGGTAACATATTATATAGTTAATAATACAATATATTCGATTTATCAGACGCTTTTATCCTAATCAAGCGGGAATCGAACCCATGACGTTGCAAGCACCGTGCACTACCGTCTGAGGACCACATATAGTTCTACAGTTATACTGTACCTCTACATGATCCTTCCTGCCTATCGCGAGGTAACACTAGATCCACAAAGACCAGCTGAGAAAATCTAGACTCTTCTCATAATGACTGGTTCAGATTTTGTCAGTTGCGTTTCGGAATTTTAGAACTATGGAACCACAACAATAGGTCGTTTTTTTTTTCTCCCACAAGGCCAAACTGTCAGACTGTTTAAACTGTACATCACCCTGTTGGTTGATCTGAATCTGGAGATACTGTATAACCACATTGGCATTAGTTAAGGCTCCATGCTCTCAGACTGCTGACCTCTCAGGAAGACTTTAGTTACTTACTGTAACTGTTTCAGAAATGATCCCTGCACTTCACTTACAGTACTATCCAAAATGATCCCGTCTGTATCTGGACTTACTGACTGTATCTGGACTTACTGACTGTATCTGGACTTACTGACTGTATCTGGACTTACTGACTGTATCTGATGTTATGATCTAAGAGGCAGAGAGATGAGCTTTAAAACCCTTTTCCTTTCTTTAGATGGAGAACTGCACTCAGCCAACAGTCATAACCAAAGATTTCTGCATGGTGTTCTACTCTCGAGACGCTAAACTCCCTGCCTCCCGCTCCATCCGAAACCTGTTTGGCACAGGAAGCCTGAGGGCAGCGGAGGGGTGAGTTGAACATCTAATTATTATTAGCAGAAACATTCCTAGAAGATGATGGTTAAATCAATGGAAACAATGGAAACAATCCCATTAGCTGTGTCTGTTCTCTGTCTGTCTTTCTCTCTGCAGTAACCGGGTGACAGGTGTGTACGAGGTCAGCCTATGTCACCTGGCCGATCATGGGAGTCCAGGTGAGACACTTTCTCCATCGCCTCTCCTCACTGTCTGTGTGTCTATGTGTGTATTTGACATTGACGACATTGCAGTCAGACTGCAAAGAATGACTGAGCCACAAACCTCCTAGCATCCTGAAAAGCTACTCATTACGTGACCAAGATGAATGATTCTGCCTTGCCTTGCTCAAACGGGATCCCCTCAGATATGCTGCATCACTGCTTCCCCCTTCACCCTTGACCTCTCGTGACCCCCCCCCCCCCCCCCCTACCCACCCAGGTATGCAGAGGAGAAGTCGACGGGTGCTGGACACCTCGGTGGCGTACGTCCGCGGGGAGGAGAACCTGGCTGGGTGGAGACCTCGCAGTGACAGCCTCATCCTGGACCACCAGTGGGAGCTGGAGAAACTCAGCCTCCTGCAGGAGGTATGTGGTACTACACCCTACACCCTATACAGTGCCTTCAGAATGTACTCAGATCCCTTGATTTATTCCACATTTTGTTGTTACAGCCTGAATTCAAAATGGATTAAACATATTTAATTTCTCACCCATCTACAAACAATACCCCATAATGACAAAGTGAAAACATGTTTTTAGAAATGTTAGCAAATTGTAGTAAACTACTAGTTAACTACAGAAATATCTAATTTACTTAAGTATTCTCACCCCGAGTCAACACAGTGGTTATTCCTTTAAAAGTTGCATCATACCGCAGCACAGCTTGGTATGGCATGTTAGAGTGCATGACGTCATGGTATTTTACTGTCAGCCATTGTTGCCATTAATGCTAGTTTGACCACCAGAGGGCATCTTTGAGAAGCTAAGTTATTGAAATTACACGGAGCTGTAGGCCTAAGAGTGCTGTTTACTGTAGCTGTTTTAATTTACTTATCAGCATAAAGGCCTACTTCAATATACAGTATATCAATCAATCATTCATTTGTGCATGCCATCACACAGCATGCAATTCATCCATGTCTTTAAAAACAGTCAAGCATTTTAGTTATAAAAACGAAATAACAAAGGGAGCCTTGAATAATTAAACAATGAATAAACTGCAACATGTCGGCTAAAGCAATTTAATTCACGAATGCATTTGACTGTTTTTAATATTGGCTGCACTAGAGACTTAATTTTTGTTGTTGTTGTTAGAACAGACTATATGGGATTGATTATAATTTGTTTGTAAATTATTCCTGTATTTGTTGTGCAGTTTATACTGTTAGAAATGTAGCTTGATTAAATGGTTAATATTATGGTGTTTCTATTTAAAGAAAAACAAAAATGCATTTTACTTAGCCTATGTAGGCCTCAGGGTGTCCGTTAGGAACATATGGCGCTGTACAATGTGACTGGTCGGGAGTAGCTTAGTGGTAGTTTAGTGGTTAAGAGCGTTGTGCCAGTAACCGAAAGGTCGCTGGTTCTAATCCCCGAGCCGACTAGGTGAAAAATCTGTCGGTGTGCCCTTGAGCAAGGTACTTAACACTAATTGCTCCTGTGAGTTGCTCTGCGTAAGAGCGTCTGCTAAATGACTAAAAATGTAAAATGTAAAAATGAGTAGGACTGGAATACTAAGTGACTGTGAGTGAAGAACAAAATAATCCTAACATTTCCACACACTAACCAATACCCAAACTGAGATTCACTGAAAATACAAATCTGATTGGTTTATCAAGACCAGTCCACATGCTTGTCTCAAAGCAGCGCGAAAAACGGTGCTGAATTAGTTGACCACACGCGAGTAGGCTATTGCTTCAAATCCTATTACAACAATTGGATGACTTTGGGTGTTTCAGTAAGCAACAATTTTGTTGCCTTCAATTGCATTAGCATACTTTATTCCAATATTTATGTCATTCAGTGATATTTAGTCCCATAGTAATTCGATATGGATCCATCCAGATGTGGTTAGAAAACAGTGCATGTGGTGGGCTATGCAAAGAGATGGGTGAAGTGAACATTCATTGTGGTCCTCTGTAGCTCAATTGGTAGAGCATGGCGCTTGTAACGCCAGGGTAGTGGGTTCGATCCCCGGGACCACCCATACGTAAAAATTTATGCACACATGACTGTAAGTCGCTTTGGATAAAAGCGTCTGCTAAATGGCATATTATTATTATATATATATATTATATTAATTAATACATTTAAAAAGTCCCTAAACTCAGCAAGAGTCTATTGTCTTGCTGATAGCCCATCAAGGGCGGATTGCTTCTTTTGTATTCCAATGTATTGGAAAGACTGCTGACTGATTTCCACCTGGCCCACAGCGTTGTTCTCCGCCCGACTCTCTACCAATGCCACCAGATTATTCTCTCTATTGTTGTTATCTACAGTGCCTTTCAAAAGTATTCATCCCCCTTCGAGTTTTTCCTATTTTGTTGCATTACAACCTGTAATTTAAATTGATTTTTATTTTGGATTTCATGTAATGGAAATACACAAAATAGTCAAAATCCGTGAAGTGAAATGAAAAAAATAACTTGTTTCAAAAAATGTGAACAAAAATATAATGGAAAAGTGGTGCGTGCATATGTATTCAGCCCCTTTACTATAAAGCCCCTAAATAAGATCTGGTGCAGCCAATTACCTTCAGAAGTCACATAATTAGTTAAATAAAGTCCACCTGTGTGCAATCTAAGTGTCACATGATCTCAGTATATATACACCTGTTCTGAAAGGCCCCAGAGTCTGCAACACCACTAAGCAAGTAGTACCACCAAGCAAGCGGCACCATGAAGACCAAGGAGCTCTCCAAACAGGTCAGGGACAAAGTTGTGGAGAAGTACAGATCAGGGTTGGGTTATAAAAAACTATCAGAAACTTTGAACATCCCACGGAGCACCATTTAAATCCATTATTTAAAAAATTGAAAGAATATGGCACCACAACAAACCTGCCAAGAGAGGGCCGCCCAACAAAACTCCCAGACCAGGCAAGGAAGGCATTAATCAGAGAGGCATCAAAGAGACCAAAGATAACCCTGAAGGAGCTGCAAAGCTCCACAGCGGAGATTGGAGTATCTGTCCATAGGACCACTTTAAGCCGTACACTCCACAGAGCTGGGCTTTACAGAAGAGTGGCCAGAAAAAAGCCATTGCTTAAAGAAAAAAATAAGCAAACACGTTTGGTGTTCGCCAAAAGGCATGTGGGAGTCTCCCCAAACATATGGAAGAAGGTACTCTGGTCAGATGAGACTAAAATTGAGCTTTTTGGCCATCAAGGAAAACACTATATCTGGCGCAAACCCAACACCTCTCATCACCCCGAGAACACCATCCCCACAGTGAAGCATGGTGGTGGCAGCATCATGCTGTGGGGATGTTTTTCATCGGCAGGGGGTGAATACTTTCACAAGCCACTGTATTCGGCGTCATTCCACAAGTAAATGTAATAAATTAAACACCTACATTAAATAGCTCAGGTCTTGAAAATATGTGAAACCTTCTTATTTTTTTATTTTTTTGTGTTTTATAGCTTCGCCATCAACTTGTTAATTTAGCAGACATAACTTGCATAAATTCAGTCAAAACATATATTTTAAGAATATAATGGAATATAACAGACCATTTTATAATAATAATAATTTTAGTTTCTCTTAGAATAAAAACCTTACAGTGCAACAACAGTTTTAGTAATAATTTAAGTTTAAGTTTAAGTAATAAGCTACGGTCCAGTTACAATTTCTTCTGACAAAGTAGAAACCAAAAAAAGTGTATTTTTTTTAGTGTGCGCACGGGACAGAGGAAGAGCAATTCTGACACTATTGTTCTAAATTCAATCACTCTCTTCTTCTTCATCCTCATCATTCAGTTGTAATACATTTTGTCACTCCTGTTCAACAACTCCAAATCGCTTTTGCATCTGCTCTAATTATATAACTTGAAATAACACTATATAGGTTAATGAAATAATTGAACGTAAAAATGTGATTATTTATTAGACTAGTGGATATACAGTACCAGTCAAAAGTTTGGACACATCTACTCATTCAAGGGTTTTTCTTTATTTGGACTATTTTCTACATTGTAGAATAATAGTGAAGACATCAAAACTATGAAATAACACATATGGAATCATGTAGTAAACAAAAAAAGTGTTAAACAAATTAAAGTATATTTTATATTTGAGAATCTTAAAATAACCCCCCTTTGCCTTGATGACAGCTTTGCACACTCTTGGCATTCTCTCAACCAGCTTCACCTGGAATGCTTTTCCAACAGTCTTGAAGGAGTTCCCACATATGCTGAGCACTTGTTGGCTGCTTTTCCTTCACTCTGCGGTCCGACTCATCCCAAACCATCTCAATTGGGTTGAGGTTGGGGGATTGTGGAGGCCAGGTCATCTGATGCAGAACTCCATCACTCTCCTTCTTGGTCAAATAGCCCTTACACAGCCTGGTGGTGTGTTGGGTCATTGTCCTGTTGAAAAACAAATGATAGTCCCACTAAGCCCAAACCAGATGGGATGGCATATCGCTGTAGAATGCTGTGGTAGCCATGCTGGTTAAGTGTGCCTTGAGTTCTAAAAAAAATCACAGACAGTGTCACCAGCTAAGCACCCCCACACCATAACACCTCCTCCTCCATGCTTTATGGTAGGAACTACACATGCGGAGATCATCTGTTTACCTACACTGCGTCTCACAAAGACACAGTGGTTGGAACCAAAAATCTACAATTCTGACTCCAGACCAAAGGACACATTTCCACCGGTCTAATGTCCATTGCTCGTGTTTCTTGGCGCATTGGTGTCCTTTAGTAGTGGTTTCTTTGCAGTAATTCGACCATGAAGGACCTGATTCACACAGTCCCCTCTGAACAGTTGATGTTGAGATGTGTCTGTTACTTGAAGTCTGTGAAGCATTTATATTGGCTGCAATTTTCTGAGGCTGGTAACTCTAATGAACTTATCCTCTGCAGCAGAGGTAACTCTGGGTCTTCCATTCCTGTGGCGGTCCTCATGAGAGCCAGTTTCATCATAGCGCTTGATTGTTTTTGTGACTGCACTTGAAGAAACTTTCAAAGTTCTTGAAATTTTCGGGAATTGATTGACCTTCATTTCTTAAAGTAATGATGGACTGTCGTTTCTCTTTGCTTATTTGAGCTGTTCTTGCCATAATATGGACTTGGTCTTTTACCAAATGTAGAAAATAGTAAAAATTAAGAAAGACCCTGGAATGAGTAGGTGTGTCCAAACTTTTGACTGGTACTGTAAGTATTTTAGACATATCATGTGAATAAGGCCTCATGTAAATTATTTTCAAAAGCACAAGAGTTACCGTTGCATGACAAACAGGTGCTGATAGATTACAATATAATTGATCTGTCAGTTTGGAACAGTGTAAACAATACTAAATCAAGTCTAAGTAATACCACAGAGTCTGTTCTAATGAAAAAAATGTGTAAAGCCTTTAATACAGCATAGCAAAGTTTAAAAATCAGCCAGATTTGTGAAATTGCTTCATGACATTTTGTGGTTGCATGAGGCTTGGTGATCACAAACACTCACATAGGCAACAGAAGCAGGGACAGCATAGGGCTGAGTGACTCACTCATTCCTGGCTTTCGTTCAAAATAAGTTATATTATAATGCAGGGTTAAAGGCACATTCTTTTCTGATTGTCTTTAGCATGCAGTCTCTCCTCTCGCTACAGCTAATTTCATTTGAAATATTATGTGGATTATAATAAATTAATATATTTGTAGGGGTTGATGCATTTTTCGTTAGGGTAAATCTGGTCTGTGATATTGAGTTAGAAATGTAAAACTTTAGAGTACCTAAGCATCGAATACATTGCAAGTTTGAACCTTTTTTGGCCGTTAGACTACTCTTTACAATAGGACTCAACTCTGACTGACATCTCTCAGTAGTCTAAACTGTGGCACAAATTGGGGGATTCTTCACACCTAGCCAAGCTATTAGTCCTTTTGTAAATTAATGGAGGTGTGAATGTTTCAGTCAGTCTCTCTCCTATCGCACTAAAAAATCAGCTGACGGGTGGTCCCGGAGTTGAGAGAGAATAGCCGACTAAATAAGCCAAGCCTAAATGAATACATTAAATTGTCTAAATAAAGGAGTACATTTCATAACTAATTGAAGTAGCTCAGATCTTGAAAATATGGGCAACCCTTTTACCTCTCCCTATCCTCGCTGGACTCTCTTTAATAATATAGTAATAATAATATGCCATTTTGAAATTTTTGTTATTGACCAAATACTTATTTTCCACCATAATTTGCAAATACATTTATAAAAAATCCTACAATGTGATTTTCTGGAGAAAAAAAATTATCTCAATTTGTCTGTCATAGTTGACGTGTACCTATGATGAAAATTACAGGCCTCTCATCTTTTTTAAGTGGGAGAACTTGCACAATTGGTGGCTGACTAAATACTTTTTTTCCCCCACTGTAATAATAATAATAATATGCCATTTAGCCAAACATCTTTCATTCCGTTTCTTCTTCACATCAGCAAAGAAGGACTTCGTGTTTCAGAAATTAACTTTAAATAGAGGGGCTATCACTCTTTCACACTGTGGTAAATAAAGCCAGTTTGTTATTTAGAATTATGTCTGTCTGTTTTTAGTGGGAGAGAAACCAAAAGCCCGCTGTGCCTATTTTTCAAAAAAATCATCAGTCCACTTGTCAAGTGTAATTGCGGCATTGTATTTACCCAAGTTCTCTCTCAACTCCGGGACCACCCGCCAGCTATTTTTTGTTGTTGTTGCCTGATGCAGGAATCTAGTGCCAGAGAAGAGAGACTCTTGGACTAAGACATTCACACCTCCATTAACTTAGTGTAACCGGTGTGAAAAGGCTAGCTAGTTAGCGGTGCGCGCTAGTAGCGTTTCAATCGGTGACGTCACTCGCTCTGAGACCTTGAAGTAGTTGTTTCCCTTTGCTCTGCAAGGGCCGCGGCTTTTGTGGAGCGACGGGTAACGGTGCTTCAAGGGTGACTGTTGTCGATGTATTGCAGAGGGTCCCTGGTTCAAGCCCAGGTAGGGGCGAGGAGAGGGACGGAAGCAACACTGTTACATTAGGAAAAGATAGACAATTTGTGTCACAGTTCAGACTACAACCGATAGATCAGCGTTCTGACTCCCCCTTGTGGTAGTGTGGTGCAATGACAGAATTACGCAATTTACCACAATCTGCCACCATCTACCACAAATGGTTGCGGCATAAGCTCAACATTTTTTCATTTATTGAGGAACCACTGTACTTTGTAGAAGCACCTTTGGCAGTGATTCAAGCTTTGAGTCGTCTTCGGTGTGTCTGTATCAGCTTTGCACATCTGGATTTGGGGATTTTATCACATTCTTCCTCGCAGATTTTTCTCAAGCTTTGTTAAGTTAGATTGGGGAGGTAAACAGCAATCTTGAAGTCTTTCCACAGATTTTCAATGGGATTCAAGTCTGGGCTTTGGCTGGGCCACGCTCTTTATTACAGACAGAAATCCTCCTCAGTTTCATCAGCTGTCTGGGTGGCTGGTCTCAGATAATAATAATAATAATATGCCATTTAGCAGACGCTTTTATCCAAAGCGACTTACAGTCGTGCGTGCATACACAGATGATCCCGGAGGTGAAGAAGCCGGATGTGGAGGTCCTGGGCTGGCATGGTTATACGTGGTCTGCGGTTGTGAGGCCGGTTGGACATACTGCCAAATTCCCTAAAACGACGTTGGAAGCGGCTTATGGTAGAGAAATTAACATTCAATTACCCGACAACAGTTCTGGTGGACATTCCTGCAGTCAGCATACCAATTGCACGCTCCCTCAAAACCTGAGACATCTGTGGCATTGTGTTGTGAGACAAAATTGCACATTTTAGAGTGGCCTTTTATTGTCCCCAGCACAAGGTGCACCTGTGTAATGATCATGCTGTTTAATCAGCTTCTTGATATGCCACAACTTGTGAGGTGGATGGATGATCTTGGCAAAGGAGAAATGCTCACTAACAGCGATGTTGGGGCACTAACAGCTCAGTTGTAGTCCTCCTGTAGCTCAGTTGGTAGAGCATGGGCGCTTGCAACGCCAGGGTTGTGGGTTCGTTTCCCATGGGGGGCCATTATGAAAATGTATGCGCTCACTAACTGTAAGTCGCTCTGGATAAGAGTGTCTGCTAAATAAATTAAAATGTAAAAATGTACTAACTTCCTGCCTGGGGGCGGCAGGTAACTTAGTGGTTAAGAGCGTTGTGCCAGTAACCGAAAGGTCGCTGGTTCTAATCCCCCGAGCCGACTAGGTGAAAAATCTATCGATGTGCCCTTGAGCAAGGCACTTAACCCTAATTGCTCCTGTAAGTCGCTCTGGATAAGAGCGTCTGCTAAATGACTCAAATGTAAAATGTAGGCTGTCTCGTTGTTGTTGGTGATCTACCACTGGTGTGTTGTCAGCAAACTTGATGATAGAGTTGGAGTAGTGTGTAGTCATGGGAGTACAGGAGAAGGCTGAGCACCCACCCCTGGGGGGCCCCCCATGTTGAGGATCAGTGTGGCGAAGGTGTTGTTGCCTACCCTCACCACCTGGGGGCGGCCCGTCAGGAAGTCTAGGTCCGAGTTGCACAGGGAGGGGTTAAGTCCCAGGGCCCTGAGACTAGTGATGAGCTTGCGGGGCACCATGGTGTTGAAAGCCGAGCTGTGGTCAACGGAAAGCATCCAGGGTGAATAGGGCGGGTGTGCAGTTTAGCGGCTATTGCGTCATCCATGGGTCTGTTGGATTTCCTCTTGGTCTAATGGTAAAGACGTTGGTTTCTCCTGTGGGAGAGCTGGGTTCATATCCCGGCAGTTATTTCAGTAATGATGTTTGTCTGGTTTGTTTCTCTACAGGTGGAGAAGACTAGACATCACCTGCTCCTGAGGGACAAGTTAGAGTCCAGCCTGCTGCTGGCTCAGGATGGGTTGTTGTCCTGTGTGAGTGAAGAGCAGAGTGAGTCCCCTCAGCCCTCTGAGGGCCACACCCAGGGCCCCACCCAGGGCCCCACCCAGGGCCCCACCGCAGATGAGAGGCAGCGAGAGCTAGCCATTAAGGTCAGTGTCTGTGTTCTTTAAAAACTTGATAGAAGTTAGTTATTATTGTTGTTTCTCAAATATTCCCATTCTTGCTCGAGTGTCCCTTTAAAATGTTGTACGTGTGTGCCCAGTCAGCCTTGTCTTTAGTAAACCACTCTGGATAAACATTTGTGTAAAGCCCCTGAAGCTCTGAAACGTAAAGCACTCTCTTATCTCTTTTCCACCAGTGTCTGCGGCTGCTCTCCCACTCCTTCAACAGAGAGTACAGCCACGTGTGTGTCAGCGCCAGTGAAAGCAAGGTAGGCCTCCTCCTACTTTACATGTCTGTATGCTGTATATATATATATATATATATACTGTATACTGTATACTGTATACTGTTTGAAGTACTTAGATTTGAGGAAACTATGAATAGGTAAGTGACAGGTTATCATTTTTCTCAGTGAGCTTTTTCCAGACATGCTGTTTGTGTGTGTGCGTGTGTGTGTGTGTGTGTGTGTGTGTGTGTGTGTGTGTGTGTTTCCAGCTGTCTGAGATGTCAATGACTCTGCTGAGGGAGTCGACCTCTGCCACGGCCCTCAACACCCTCACCCCCTCCTCGACATGCCCCTCACTGGTGGAGGGATGCTACCCCAAGACTGAAGGACTCAGGTCAGTAATAACACGCTCCTAAGAGACACTCTTTGCATGACATGACAGTAACAGATGGACTATAAGGTTTTATCAGAATTTTTGTCAAAATGGAGTTATTAGCCTTGTTTTGTTCAATGCTCTTTACTTACGCAACCAGTCAAAAGTTTTAGAACACCTACTCATTCAAAGCTTTCTCTTTATTTTTACTATTTTCTACATTGTAAAATCAAATCAAATCAAAGTAAATTTTATATTTGAGAATCTTCAAATAGCCCCCCTTTGCCTTGATGACAGCTTTGCACACTCTTGGCATTCTCTCAACCAGATTCACCTGGAACGCTTTTCCAACAGTCTTGAAGGAGTTCCCACATATACTGAGCACTTGTTGGCTGCTTTTCCTTCTATCTGCGATCTGACTCATCCCAAACCATCTCAATTTGGTTGAGGTCGGGGGATTGTGGAGGCCAGGTCATCTGATGCAGTACTCCATCACTCTCCTTCTTGGTATAATAGCCCGTACACAGCCTGGAGGTGTGTTGGGTCACTGTCCTGTTGAAAACAAATGAGAGTCCCACTAAGCCCAAACCAGATGGGATGGCGTATCGCTGCAGAATGTTGTGGTAGCCATGCTGGTTAAGTGTGCCTTGAATTCTAAATAAATCACAGACATTGTCACCAGCAAAGCACACCCACACGATAACACCTCCTCCTCCATGCTTTACGGTGGGAACCACACATGCGGAGATCATCCGTTCACCCACACCGCGTCTCACAAAGCCACGGCGGTTTGAACAAAACATTTCCAATTTGGACTCCAGACCTAATTACAAATTTCCACCGGTCTAATGTCCATTGCTCATGTTTCTTGGCCCAAGCAAGTCTCTTATTCTTATTGGTGTCATTTAGTAGTGGTTTCTTTGCAGCAATTCGACCATGAAGGCCTGATTCACACAGTCTCCTCTGAACAGTTGATGTTGAGATGTGTCTGTTACCTAAACTCTGTGAAGAATTTATTTGTGCTGCAATTTCTGAGGCTGGTAACTCTAATGAACTTATCCTCTGCAGCAGAGGAACCTCGAGGTATTCCATTCCTGTGGCGGTCCTCATTAGAGCCAGTTTCATCATAGCGCTTGATGGTTTTTTGCGACTGCACTTGAAGAAACTTTCAAAGTTCTAGAAATGTTCCGTATTGACTGACCTCATGTCTTAAAGTAATCATGGACTGTCATTTCTCTTTGCTTATTTGAACTGTTCTTGCCATAATATGGACTTGGTCTTTTACCAAATAGGGCTATCTTCTGTATACCACCCCTACCATGTCACAACACAACTGATAGGCTCAAACACATTAAGTAGGAATGAAATTCCACAAATTAACTTTTAACAAGGCACACCTGTTAATTGAAATGCTTTTTAGGTGACTACCTCATGAAGCTGGTTGAGAGAATGCCAAGAGTGTGCAAAGCTTTCATCAAGGCAATGGGTGGCTATTTGAAGAATCTCAAATGAAAAATATATTTAGATTTATTTAGCACTTTTTTGCTTACTACATGATTCCATATGTGTTTTTTACATAGTTTTGATGTCTTCACTATTATTCTACAATGTAGAAAATAGTACAAATAAAGGAATACCCTTGAATGAGTAGGTGTTCTTAAACTTTTGACTGGTGCTGTACTGTATATATACCCTAAAACCAAGTGGTGGAAAAAGTACCCAATTGTCATACTTGAGTCAAAGTAAAGATACCTTAATAGAATATGACTCAATCAAAGTGAAAGTCACCCAGTAAAATACTACTTGGGTAAAAGTCTAAAAGTATTTGGTTTTAGGTATCAAAAGTAAGTATCAAAAGTAAATGTAATTGCTAAAATATACTGAAGTATCAAAAGTAAAATTATAAATTATTTCAAATCAGCCAGCACCATTTTCTTGTTTCTTTTAATTTACGGATAGCCAGGGGCACACTCCAACACTCAGACATCATTTACAAACGAAGCATGTGTGTTTAGTGAGTCCGCTAGATCAGAGGTAGTAGAGGTGACCAGGGATGTTCTCTTGACATGTGCATGAATTGGACCATTTTCCTGTCCTGCTAAGCATTCAAAATGTAACGAGTACTTTTGGGTGTCAGGGAAAATGTCAGTTGTAAAAAGTACATAATTTTCTTTAGGAATGTAGTGAAGTAAAAGTAAAAGTTGTCAAAAATATAAATTGTAAAGTACAGATACCCCCAAAAACTACTTAATTAGTACTTTTAAGTATTTTTACTTAAGTACTTTACACCACTGCTAAATACCCCAATTAATGTTGTTAAGTTCAAAATAATACAAGATAAGAATTACTGACACCATTCAAACCAACTAGGGTCCGGAATTCTAAAGCCAATTATCTCAGAATCATATTTTTTTGCAGATAGAACCTTAGAGTCCCAAGCTCTGGACATGGCAGCTTCAGCAACACTGAACTATGGTCCAAATACAGACTGAACATGGTGCTGGAGTCTGGTTTAGCGCTTAATGCTCCCAACTCCGGACCACATATACCCCCCTGGCGACGGGGGGATCGAGCCCCGTTTTAGCCATTCCTGCATGTGCTCCGATTTACTAATCTCATCTTATTTTTTCTGTCTGTCCCCCCAGAACTCCCACGCCTCGTTCCCGCTGCGCCAGCCCCAACCCTATCTGTTCACACCGGGACGGAGAGGGTCAAGAAGCACCCTGGTCCCAGTGGGGTCGCAGCCCCGGAGGTTAAGCCCGTGGAACGCCGCTTTGTACCAGACATCCAGGAGATCCGGGTCAGGTGAGTGGCTCCAGAGATTGATTGATTGACTGACTGAATGAGTCAGTGGTATATGGCTCCAGAGGTTTATCATTAAAGGTGGTGGAACTGACCTAATCGAATGCAGTGACAATCATGTACAGGACCCGGCTGAGTTAATAATGGGTGTTCTCAACTCAATAGTCCTTCATGGGTGCAGGGTTGGAAAGGCATATCAACTGAACAAGTAAGACCTGCTCACACTGAAAATAATTTTTGGAAGTTTGAATTTCTTCAGCACCAGCCTTCGTTAGCGTTTTAGGCTTGATCTTGATTCTTCTGGCAGAACAAACGTTTCTGGACGGCATTAATCCTCTAGATTTGGCTTTGCTACTCTTTATTTTCAACTTGAGTCTTGTGCCTTTTATATTGGATATCATCAAGTGTAGTTACACGCGTAGTGCACTTGGTCTTTCTTCCAGCCCCATCGTGTCAAAGAAGGGCTACCTGCATTTCCTGGAGCCTCACACCAACGGCTGGGTGAAGCGATACGTGGTGGTGAGACGGCCGTACGTCTACATCTACAATACAGAGAGAGACAGCGTGGAGAGAGCCATCCTCAACCTCTCCTCTGCCCATGTCGAGTACAGCGAGGACCAGCAGGCCATGCTTAAGGTACATCACCTTTACACACCTTTACCTGACACCATTACCTGCCGACACACCTTTACACACCTTTACCTGACACCATTATCTGCCGACACACCTTTACACACCTTTACCTGACACCATTACCTGCCGACACACCTTTACACATCTTTACCTGACACCATTACCTGCCGACACACCTTTACATACTTTTACATGACACCATTACCTGCCGACACACCTTTACACACCTCTACCTGACACCATTACCTGCCGACACACCTTTACACACCTTTTGCTGACACCATTACCTGCCGACACACCTTTACATACCTTTACCTGACACCATTACCTGCCGACACACCTGTACATACCTTTACCTGACACCATTACCTGCCGACACACCTTTACACACCTTTACCTGACACCATTACCTGCCGACACACCTTTACACACCTTTACCTGACACCATTACCTGCCGACACACCTTTACATACTTTTACATGACACCATTACCTGCCGACACACCTTTACACACCTTTACCTGACACCATTACCTGCAGACACACCTTTACACACCTTTACCTGACACCATTACCTGCCGACACACCTTTACACACCTTTACCTGACACCATTACCTGCCGACACACCTTTACATACTTTTACATGACACCATTACCTGCCGACACACCTTTACACACCTTTACCTGACACCTTGACATACCTTTACCTGACACCATTACCTGCCGACACACCTTTACACACCTTTACCTGACACCTGTACATACCTTTACCTGACACCATTACCTGCCGACACACCTTTACACACCTTTACCTGACACCTTGACATACCTTTACCTGACACCATTACCTGCCGACACACCTGTACATACCTTTACCTGACACCATTACCTGCCAACACACCTTTACACACCTTTTACCTGACAACCTTTACCTACCGACACACCTTTTTATTTATTTATTATTTTTATTTCACCTTTATTTAACCAGGTAAACCAGTTGAGAACAAATTCTCATTTACAACTGCGACCTGGCCAAGATAAAGCAAAGCAGTGCGATAAAAACAACAACACAGAGTTACATATGGGGTAAAACAAAACAAAGTCAAAAATACAACAGAAATAAATATATATACAGTGTGTGCAAATGTAGCAAGTTATGGAGGTAAGGCAATAAATAGGCTATAGTGCAAAATAATTACAATTAGTATTAACACTGGAATGATAGATGTGCAAGAGATGATGTGCAAATAGAGATACTGGGGTGCAAATGAGCAAAATAAATGTAAATAACAATATGGGGATGAGGTAGTTGGGTGGGCTAATTACAGATGGGCTGTGTACAGGTGCAGTGATCGGTAAGGTGCTCTGACAACTGATGCTTAAAGTTAGTGAGGGAGATAAGTGTCTCCAGCTTCAGAGATTTTTGCAATTTGTTCCAGTCATTGGCAGCAGAGAACTGGAAGGAATGGCGACCAAAGGAGGTGTTGGCTTTGGGGACACCTTTTTACACACCTTTTACCTGCTGACACACATTTACACACCTTTACACACCTTTACCTGACACCTTTTACCTGACACCTTTTACCTGCCAACACACCTTTACACACCTTTACACACCTTCAGCTGACACCTTTTACCTGACACCTTTTACCTGCCAACACACCTTTACACACCTTTACCTGACACCTTTTACCTGCCGACTCACCTTTACACACATTACACCACTTTAACTGACACCTTTTACCTGACACCTTTTACCTGCCGACACACCTTTACACACCATTACCTGCCAACACACCTTTACACACCATTACCTGCCCACACATCGTTACACACCTTTACCTGCCGACACACCTTTTTACACCTTCACTTGACACCTCTACCTGACACCTTTTACCTGCCGACACACCTTTACACACATTTTACCTGAGGACACCTACAGTAGGCCTTGTTCCAATCCCTTAGAATGCATGCCCATTGCCCAATACATTGCTTAATCCTAAATCAGCAGGCCATGCTCAAGGTTGATAACCTTTTATAAAGCAAAAAAAACTAAGTAATGTCTGCTCACCATTTAGCTGATCCCAGTAGGTGCTCTGTTAATAAAGCTTAAAGTGACTGACATGGTCTTTGTCAGGTAGACCAACACCAGATGAACTATTACCATGAACACCATCTCCATCTCCTGTCATCTTTTACTTGACACATACACTGAGTAACATTAACCAATGTCTACACTGTATTTCTGATCAATTTGTTGTTAATTTAATGGACAAAAAAAGTATTTTTTTTCTTTCGAAAACAAGGACATTTCTAAGTGACCCCAAACTTTTGAATGGTAGTGTACGTTGAATTGAAATTAACAAAGTATCTAGGCCTATATATACACACTGAGTGAACAAAACATTAGGAACACCTGCTCTTTCCTTTGACATAGACTGACCAGGTGAATCCAGGTGAAAGCTATGATCCCTTAGTGATGTCACCAGTGTAGATGAAATGGAGGAGCCAGGTTAAAGAAGGATTTTTAAAGTCCTTGCGACAGTTGAGACATGGATTGTGTATGTGTGCCATTCAGAGGGTGAACGGACAAGACAAAATATTGAAGTGCCTTTGAACAGGGTATGGTAGTAGGTGCCAGGCGCACCAGTTTGAGTGTGTTAAGAACTGCGACACTGCTGGGTTTTTCACGCTCAACAGTTTCAAATCAAATCAAATCAAAATGTATTTGTCACATACACATGTTTAGCAGATGTTATTGCGGGTGTAGCGAAATGCTTTCCCATGTGTATCAAGAATGATCCACCACCCAAAGAACATTCAGCCAACTTGACACAACTGTGGGAAGCATTGTAGAGTCCATGCCCCGACGAATTGAGGCTGTTCTGAGGACAAAAGGGGGTGCAACTCAATATTAGGAAGGTGCTCCTAATGTTTTGTACACTCAGTGTACAGTATATCTACAGTATTTGAAAAGACAGATGTTTTTCCTCCCCGTGCTAAACCTCAAAGGGAAGCGTTCCTTCAGAAGCTGGCTGGTTTCAACAACACTGTACCTCTATGTGTTTTCTCCCCAGACCCCAAACACGTTTGCTGTGTGTACGGAGCACCGCGGGATACTGCTCCAAGCCAGCAACGACAAGGAGATGCACGACTGGCTCTATGCATTTAACCCCCTCCTGGCTGGATCCATCAGGTAACATGGGCTGACACACTTAGATCTGTTGATTGTCCTTTTAGTCTTAGTAGCGCTGGCTTTCAAGATACCGGCTGTTTTGAAGAAGGCCTGGGTTTTACTTGCAATGATCATGATCGTTTGTGGTCGTTTTGCCTACGTTAGTGGAATGCACTGATTTATACGTTGCCCTGGATAAGAACGTCTGCTAAATGACTCAAATGTAAAATGTAATTGTAAATCCCACTTGAATTAGAACTGTACGTTTACATCTACATTTTAGTCATTTAGCAGACACGCTTATCCAGAGCGACTTACAGGAGCAATTAGAGTTAGGTGCCTTTCTCCGATGGATCATGATAATGGCGCTGGAGGGGACGGCTGCCGTTTTACGGGCTCCTAACCAACTGTGCTATTTTGTGTGTTTTTTTTCACATTGTTTGTAACTTATTTTGTACATAAAGTTGTTGCCACCGTCTCTTATGACCGAAAAGAGCTTCTGGACATCAGAACAGCGATTACTCACCTCGAACTGGATGAAGATTTTTTTCTTTAATGAGTCCGATGTGAAGGATATACTGCTTTCCGGAGACCAGGCCCAAATCCCCGTCATTCTCGTGAAGAAAAGGCGGAGATACAGAGAAAGAAGTTAGGGGTGCCTTATGAGGATTCGGAGGCCAGTGAGTAAATCGCCACTACCCTCAGTTCTATTGGCCTACGTGTAATCACTGGAAAACAAACTCGGTGCTCTACGATCGATACTATCCTACCAACAGAACATTAAAAACTGTAATATCTTATGTTTCACCGAGTCGTGGCTGAACGACGACAAGGATAATACACAGCTTGCTGGGGTTTCCGTGCATCGGCAGGACAGAGCAGTTACGTCTGGTAAGACGAGGGACGGGGGTGTGTGTCTATTTCTCAATAACAGCTGGTGCGCAATGTCTAATATTAAAGAAGTCTCGAGGTATTGCTCGGCTGAGGTAGAGTACCTCATGATAAGCTGTAGACCCATTATCTACCAAGAGAGTTCTCATCTATATTATTCGTAGCCGTCTACTTATCACGACAAAACCGATGCTGGCACTAAGACCGCACTCAACGAGCTGTATATGGCCATAAGCAAACAGGAAAATGCTCATCCAGAAGCGGCGCTCCTAGTGGCCTTGGAATGCAGGCAAACTTAAATCTGTTTGACCTCATTTCTACCAGCATGTCACATGTGCAACCAGAGGGGGAAAAAACTCTAGACCACCTTTACTCCACACACAGATACGCGTACAAAGCTCTCCTTCGCCCTCCATTTGGCAAATCTGACCATAATTCTATCCTCCTGATTCCTGCTTACAAGCAAAAACTAAAGCAAGAAGTACCAGTGACTCGCTCAATACGGAAGTGGTCAGGTGAGGCGGATCCTACACTACAGGACTGTTTTGCTAGCACAGACTGGAATATGTTCCGTGATTCATCCAATGGCATTGAGGAGTATACTACCTCAGTCACCGGCTTCATCAATAAGTGACGACGTCGTTCCCACAGTGAACGTATGTACATATGCCAACCAGAAGCCATGGATTACCTGCACCGAGCTAATCGCTCGGGACACTAATCCAGACGCTTATAAGAAAGCCCGTTATGCCCTCAGACGAACCATCAAACAGGCAAAGCGTCAATACAGGACTAAGATTGAATCCTACTACACCGGCTCTGACGCTCGTCGGATGTGGCAGGGCTTGCAAACTATTATGGATTACAAAGGGAAACCCAGCCGCGAGCTGCCCAGTGACGCGAGCCTACCAGAAGAGCTAAATGCCTTTTATGCTCGCTTCGAGGCAAGCAACACTGAAGCATGCATGAGAGCACCAGCTGTTCCGGACGACTGTGTGATCATGCTCTCCGTAGCCGATGTGAGCAAGAACTTTAAACAGGTCAACATTCACAAGGCCGCGGGGCCAGGCGGATTACTAGGGCATGTACTCAGAGCATGCGCTGACCAACTGGCAAGTGTCATCACTGACATTTTCAACCTCTCCATGACTGAGTCTGTAATACCTACATGTTTCAAGCAGACCACCATAGTCCCCTGTGCCCAAGGACTCTAAGATAACCTGTCTAAATGACTACCGACCCGTAGCACTGACGTCCGTAGCCATGAAGAGCTTTGAAAAGCTGGTCATGGCTCACATCAACACCATCATCCCAGTCACCCTGGACCCACTCTAATTTGCATACTGCCCCAACAGATCCACAGATGATGCAATCTCAATCGCACTCCACACTGCCCTTTCCCAACTGGACAAAAGGAACACCTATGTGAGAATACTGTTCATTGACTACAGCTCAGCGTTCAACACCATAGTGTCCACAAAGCTCATCACTAAGCTAAGGACCCTGGGACTAAACACCTCCCTCTGCAACTGGATCCTGGACTTCCTGACAGGCCGCCCCCAGGTGGTGAGGGTAGGTAACAACACATCTGCCACACTGATCCTCAACACCTGGGCCCCTCAGGGATGCGTGCTTAGTCCCCTCCTCTATTCCTTGTTCACCCACGACTGCATGGCCAAGCACGACTCCAACACCATCATTAAGTTCGCTGACGACACAACAGCTGTAGGCCTGATCACCGACAATGATGAGACAGCCTATAGGGAGGACGTCAGAGACCTGGCAGTGTGGTGCAAGGACAACAACCTCTCCCTCAATGTGAGCAAGTCAAAGGAGATGATCGTGGACTACAGGAAAAGGAGGGCCGAACAGGCCCCCATTAACATCGACAGGGCTGTAGTGGAGCGGGTCGAGAGTTTCAAGTTCATTGGTGTCTACATCCCCAACAAACTATCATGGTCCAAACACAACAAGACAGTCGTGAAGAGGGCACGACAACACCTTTTCCCCCTCAGGAGACTGAAAAGATTTGGCATGGGTCCCCAGATCCTCAAAAAGTTATCCAGCTGCACCATCGAGAGCATCCTGACCGGTTGCATCACCGCCTGGTATGGCAACTGCTCGACATCCGACCGTAAGGCACTACAGAGGGTAGTGTGTACGACCCAATACATCACTGGCTCTGGATAAGAGAGTCTGCTAAATGACTCACTACTGTAGTCTCTCTGGATAAGAATGTCTGCTAAATGACTCACTACTGTAGTGGCTGTTGATAAGAGTGTCTGCTAAATGACTAACTACTGTAGTCTCTCTGGATAAGAATGTCTGCTAAATGACTCACTACTGTAGTGGCTGTTGATAAGAGTGTCTGCTAAATGACTCACTACTGTAGTCTCTCTGGATAAGAGCGTCTGCTAAATTACTCACTACTGTAGTCTCTCTGGATAAGAGTGTCTGCTAAATGACTCACTACTGTAGTCTCTCTGGATAAGAATGTCTGCTAAATGACTCACTACTGTAGTGGCTGTTGATAAGAGTGTCTGCTAAATGACTCACTACTGTAGTCTCTCTGGATAAGAGTGTCTGCTAAACGACTCACTACTATAGTCTCTCTGGATAAGAGCGTCTGCTAAATGACTCACTACTGTAGTCTCTCTGGATAAGAGTGTCTGCTAAACGACTCACTACTGTAGTCTCTCAGGATAAGAGTGTCTGCTAAATGACTCACTACTGTAGTCTCTCTGGATAAGAATGTCTGCTAAATGACTCACTACTGTAGTCTCTCTGGATAAGAGAGTCTGCTAAATGACTCACTACTGTAGTCTCTCTGGATAAGAATGTCTGCTAAATGACTCACTACTGTAGTCTCTCTGGATAAGAATGTCTGCTAAATGACTCACTACTGTAGTGGCGGTTGATAAGAGTGTCTGCTTAATGACTCACTACTGCAGTCTCTCTGGATAAGAATGTCTGCTTAATGACTCACTACTGTTGTCTCTCAGGATAAGAGTGTCTGCTAAATGACTCACTACTGTAGTCTCTCTGGATAAGAATGTCTGCTAAATGACTCACTACTGTAGTGGCTGTTGATAAGAGTGTCTGCTAAATGACTCACTACTGTAGTCTCTCTGGATAAGAATGTCTGCTAAATGACTCACTACTGTAGTGGCTGTTGATAAGAGTGTCTGCTAAATGACTCACTACTGTAGTCTCTCTGGATAAGAGTGTCTGCTAAATGACTCACTACTGTAGTCTCTCTGGATAATAGTGTCTGCTAAATGACTCACTACTGTAGTCTCTCTGGATAAGAGTGTCTGCTAAATGACTCACTACTGTAGTCTCTCTGGATAAGAGCGTCTGCTAAATGACTCACTACTGTAGTCTCTCTGGATAAGAGTGTCTGCTAAATGACTCACATGTACAATGTAAACTTTTGAGTCACTGTTTTCTCTCCCTCTTGTTTCTGTCAGGTCCAAACTCTCCAGAAGAAGAGCTGGACAGATGAGGATGTGAATCAACAACACGTCTTATAGACAAGACAATAGAACACAAAGAGACTAACCTGTATATAGATCCCAGATCCCTCATTACTCCTTTACTCCTGTGCTGACCCCTGACCCCCTCCTACTCTAGTAACCAACTTGCTCCTCCTCCTCCTTCTGCACACGCCCAGTTTATCACAAGCTGACCACCAGTGTATCCAAGGCCCTGAGGCCTCCATCGTCGTTGTGTGTCCGTCAGGCCTGTACCGCTGTCTGTCCGTGTGAGCCTCACTGTCTGGTTTAACTCCTCTCCAAGGCTGATGCCCAAATGGCACCATATTCCCTGTATAGCGTGTTGCTTTTGATCAGAGCCTGGTCATAGCTACTGTACGAAGGGCCTATAGGGCTGGTCATAGCTACTGTAAGAAGGGCCTATAGGGTTGGTCATAGCTACTGTAAGAAGGGCCTATAGGGCTGGTCATAGCTACTGTAAGAAGGACCTAGAGGGCTGGTCATAGCTACTGTAAGAAGGGCCTATAGGGCTGGTCATAGCTACTGTAAGAAGGGCCCATTGGACTCTGGTCAAAAATAGTGCACTACATAGGGAATATGGCACCATTTGGGACTGATCCCAAACCTCCTTACT